ATTAATAAAAAAAATTTTTTTCTTATGACGCTAATGTATGTATTATTATTCTGATTTTGGTAAAGTCAGTCATTTTTGCTAGGTGAGTGTACTCATATAATTCAAATAAAAAAGGTTATTTATCATTATAACAAAACTATTAAATTGGATTATTATTATGATGAAATTTTTTTAAATATTCACGTTAATAGTAGAGGATATTTAGCTAAATAAGGAATTCAGTTAATCTTAAATTATTTTAAACTAGTTTCTAAATCAAAGAAAATTAGAAATAACAATAGTGTTAGCAGTGCTAAAGAATAGGAAAGTGATAATGATGAAAAAATGAATGATGATGATTTGTTTAATATTGACGAAATAAGTGATGTGAAAAATGATTGTGAAAATGAAATTTTAAGTGATGATGATATGATAATCTCATTAAATAATAAATAAAAATCTTGCTCTAGTTTTAGATCTAATATTATTCATGAATATATCAATTGTACTTCTGCTCAGTTTGATAGGACTAGAAAAATTGAGTTATTGTAAAGGAGCTTTTTTGTGATTTTTTTTCAAGAAATTTTTCACATAAGAAGCTAGATTATTCACAAAAACATCAGTTAAATTGTTAATTATATATAGAAGTAATATGAAAAATTGATTGTGATTATAAGTTAATGCTATTTTTAATTATATAACTATATAATCACGTAAAAAATTTTGATTAATTATTTTTTATTAATTTAATTAAGGTAACTATATTTGTTCTATGAAATGTAAAGAATATACTAATCAAACCATTTGTAATAACTGTCTTAGTTTAAAATGTAATAAAATTTTACAAAATTGAATTGCTATAATAAAACCACCTATCTCAAAGTTAAAATATTTTCCAATACATTATTTTAAAAATAATCCTCTAAAAAATTATCTAAAATATTCTGACCTTATTATCATTTGGTCAATAATCAAAGATAACGAATCTAAAATAACATTTAATATCTGGATAAAATTAGCAGAAAAAGGTATCCAAGATGCTTTTGATAAAAGCCAGTTTTTAAAGGTCTTTATAATGTTATATTACAAGCTGTAATTTGAAAAGAAAAAACATATTCACACAAAATTTGAAATATACTGAAGAGTTTAAAAATTTTTTCATAATTCTTAGTACTTATAGTTAATATATGTTAGATCTATTCTGACAAAATCTAGAGGAATTAATAATTTAAAGTATTAGGTATAAAAATATTTGTCATATTCTTATTATGTTAAATATATTATAATAACAGATAACAATTTTTTATTTTTAAGCATTTATGTTCTAATTTTAAAGATATGCTAAATGACTTATCTCTTTATTTTGAGAATATGATTCAGTTCAAATGATTTTTGAATTCTATCAGCTATAATGATTCAATCGTGACTATGATAAATAATACTAAACTGAAGTTTCATCTTCAGTATTCTTTACAAATTAGATGTATTATCAGCTCTATATTTTTAAATAATAAAACAAATATTAAAACATATGATGATATTTCAATCACAATTAATAAAATCAAAGAGAATAATACAGTTACCAAATATGTGAGAGTATATATATTGTAAGTAAGTCAAAACTGTAATTAATAAATTAATATATTGATATTAATACATACTAGGTCTTATTACCAAAATTTTCTTCTGTCGTTATTGCTCTTCTTAACCTTGAGTCAGATAAAATAGAATCAATATTAGAAATACATAAATTACTTCTAGATTTTGCACAAAAACTTAAATTGCACATAATTTTGATCAGTTCTGATGACACGCATGTTGAATTTAATACACAAACCTAAGTTCAACAAATATCAACTCTCAACAGATTTAGAATTAGCTATATACTATTTAACATTGATTTCAATTGTCTAATTTTTCTAAATATTGGTCTAGTAATACAAGTTCAGGATCCTAAATATGCTAAAAAGACAGAACATAATGTAGCAATATCAAGTGCTCGAGTTCTTATACTTAATCATTTTACTTTAGGATTTGGCCATTTTATAAAATTGCTCATTTACTCTAAGAGTTCTATATATAAATATAACGTATATAAACTTGATCAGCAAGACAATAATGCTGCTTACCAAATTTTCTATCCTAAAAAATCTGATGTGTTATCTTAATTCTAATAATAAAATTAAACCTGAATTTGAAGGAAAATTTATATATCTATTTATAATTGATATGTTTTTAAAATTTTATAATAAAAATATATATTGAAGTTAATTATTTTTATCAATGTAGATGAATTAGTTGATAATTATTTGAATCAAAACATTACTCCTATTGAATAAATAAGAATAATGATAATATCTTATTTTTTTTTACGAATTTGATGATTTCATATAAATACATTAGCACGAAAATATCCTGAGTTTATTTTCCTTTACTAGAACTTTATAGTATCTCAAATATTTGCAATACTTACATCATTAGTTGAATCAATAGTTTTGCTTATAAAAGTTCATAGAGATTCTATAATCAATATCCTTTTATTTTTTGAATACATGATTCAGAAATGTATGAACATTTTTTTAGTGCAGCACAATAAGTCAACATTGATTTTGATTTTGCAGAGTTATTAAAAATAGTACCTAAAATAGGTCATTATACTAAAGCGTTAAACTCAAAGAAAATATCTTTTAATAAGATAAATCTGTATGTAAAGGTAAGTAAAAGATTTTTGTAGTATGTTATAATTTATATTAGTATATATAAAATTAAATTACTTAATTTTAAGATATCAGTTTGAATATAATCAAAATTTTATTGAAAATGATCAAATTAATCTATTATGAATCTGATCAGATGATGATCAAATTTGTTATACATTTGATCAATCACGTTAAATAGTATACAATCTTATCAAATATTTAGGAATATTAACACCTACATTATACTTATCAATTCACTTCAGCTATATATCTTAATATCTAATAATATAGAAATTTCTGGTTCAAATGATAAAAATATGCAGAATAGTGAGAATTCAAATGATTGTAATCTTTCTTAAGTAATTAGTCGTACTGCTAAAGAAATGGATCTTTTGAAACAAAGAGAAAATGAAAGAAATGAAATAGATATAAATAAAGAAAGCAAAAACTTTAAATGAATGCAAAAAACAATTTTCTTTTATTAATATAGTTGAAGTAAAGACTTTGAATAATACATTTAGTACAGGTTGCTATATTTTAATAAATAATTTAAATTTTTTTTTAAAAAAATCTAAAAATTTTTTTTAATTTTTAAAATTTTGATGATGTCGATGATATAATATTTATTACTAGAAATAGAATTGATTTTTAAGAAATGATTTACCAATGTAAAAAGTATAATGCTTATACTTCTCACAATATTAAACAAACAATCAAGATAAATAGTACAAGAATAATAAATTCAACTTCAATTAATCTTAATCAAGCAAATCATATTATTTCTTTTTTTACTAAAATGAAAATGCTAAAATGTAATTTGTTAAACAAAAAGAAAAAAGATGGAAGAATAAATGAAAATTTATAAGTCAATCTATTGCTAAATTTTATGAAAAAGAATAATTATACAAATGGCAAAAAATTTTATCTAGTAATCAAAATTTGAGTAAATTTAAATAGTTTAAATTAAAAATTATTTTATGTTAATATTTACTAAAATTTTAATTTTTTTAATTATATTTATAGTTAAAAATATAGAGGTTGCAAATATTAATTACAATAATCCTCTTAATGAACAAGATTTTGTTATAGCTTATTATAGGATATAACTTTGTATTGGATAAGTAATTTCTAGTTTTTATGAAATATATGGATATAATTCTTATAATCAGGAATTAATCACTGAAATTAAAAATATATCATATTTAACTCTTAAGTTTTTACTCCTGTTTATAATATTTTTTTTAGCTGAAATAGAATAAAATCATGTATAAAGCTTTGAACGGTTCAGATTAATCTGAAAATTTTCAGTTCAGATCAACTTCAGTTCAATTTCAGATTGCAAAAAATTTAATCTGAAAATTTTCGGTTTAGTTCAGATTTTTTTTGAATTATAAATCTAATCTAAACTGAAAAAATCTGAATTGAACTGAAAATTTTGGATTAATCTGAAATTTCAGATCATTTAGAATGATTAAATTTATTGTTCTTTTAGAACGATTGAAGTTATCATTCTAAATGAACAATAAAAAAATCGTTGATTGAAACAATTAAATTATTATTCTAAAAAAATGATTAAATTATTGTTCTAAAAGAATAATAAAAGAATCGTTCATTTGGAATGATTGAAGTTATCATTTCAAATAAACGATAAGAAAATTGTTTAATTGGAATGATTAAATTATCAGTCTAAATGAACAATAAAAGAATCATTTGATTAAAATGATAAAATTATTATTTCAAATGAACAATAAAAGAATTGTTTGATTAGAATGATAAAATTATTATTCTAAATGAATGATAAGAAAATCATTCAATTGGAATGATAAATTATCATTCCAAATGACAATAAAAAATTCATTCGATTGGAACAATAAGAGAATCGTTTGATTGGAATGATAAAATTATCATTTTAAATGAATGATAAAAGAATTATTTGATTAGAACGATGAAATTATCATTTCAAACAAATGATAAGAGAATTGTTTGATTGAAACGATGAAATTATTATTCTAAATGAATAATAAAAGAATTATTTATTTAGAATGATTGAAGTTATCATTTCAAATAAATAATAAAAAATTGTTTAATTAGAATAATTAAATTATTGTTCCAAAAGAACAATAAAAAAATTGTTCATTTGAAATGATTGAAGTTATCATTTATTTAAAATAATTGAAGTTATTGTTCTAAATGATCTGAAATTTCAGATTAATTTGAAATTTTTGGTTCAGTTCAGATTTTTACCAGTTTACAATTCAGTTCAATTTCAGATTGGCATTTTTTAAGATTTATAATCTGAACTGAACTGAACTGAAATTTTTGGTTCAGTTTCAGATTGGCCTATAATTCAAACTGAATTGAACTGTTCAAAGCATTAATCATGTATTAATTATACATCAATATCTAAAAAATGTTCTTTATTATTTAAATATATAGGATATACAAATCTTTGATAATACTTTTCAATTATTAGATAAAGCAAAAACTTGTTATAATTTTTTTTAAAAAAAAAGAAATAATTCATATTATTACACAAAACTAATATAACAATTAAATAAAATAAAAATGATTTTGATTTTATATAAACTCAGATCTGAAATTGTATAATTTATAGTAAAATTTAAACTTATATGATAATTTTGTATAAAGTTTCTAATAAATTAAGCATATAAAATTATATTAAAATTTTGAATTTGAATCTGAGTTATATATATATTCTTCAGGTTTTACAGAGATGCTAAAAATTCTATTATTACTATTAAAGTTAACATTAAAAAATCCTAACTATAAAAAACTTTTATAATAATATTAATTATGGAAATTCTCGATAATTTTAAATTTTGAACTACCATTAAAATTGACAAATAATCATTTAATATGAAAAATGTTCTTCATCTATAATAAAATAAAATAATAATATATAATATTAAAAACTATATCAAAGACTATATAATAATGTATATTTTTAATAGTTATATATTTAAAAAAATTTTTTTTACATTTTAAAATTCTTAAAAATTATTTGATATAACTAAGCTGTTTATATCATAATTAAGTTACAACAAAATAGCAAATAAATATAATAAAAAAAAATTTATTTTCTAAGTAATTTTTTTGTTTTCAAAAAATTTGAAAAAAAGAGAGAAAGAGTTTTTTTCTTTTTATAAAAAATTAGTTTAACCAATTTTATAAAATATTAATTTTTGTTATGTGATATCTTCTGATCAGATGATCTGATTTAAATAAAATTTAGCTTATTAGAATTATTACATAGAGAAAAATTAAAATCTAGTATCAATTTTATAATAATTAGCCTGCTTAAAATGTTTTCTAAGCTTAAAAGTTATTAAAAACTATTTTTAATTTAAATTTTTACATTATATAAAATTAGTATTATTAATTAGCTAAAATTAAAATAAATTAAAAATTATATTTCTAATATAATTAATAAGTTATAAACTTTAAAACTAAAAATAAATTGTTACATTTCTTTTGCCTATCACTGTATATATTTTTTTCTTAAATAAAAACTTTATACTTAATATGAAAATAATTAATTTTTAGTTAGATTTCTATTTACTTTAATCATAACTTGAATTTACTACAGCATATTATTAACCAAATTTTAATAGTTTATATTAGAATTTGTTTCTATTCTTTTATAATATATTAATTAAGTTAAGTAAGGTTAAAAGACAAATTTTTTCTTTCATAAATGCTTTTTTTAACTTTAGTTATAAATTCTTAATTGGATTAAGATCTGGCCTTTAAGCAAATTATAAAAGTATGTATTCTTTAACTCAAGTTAATTATATTCTTAAATTTCTACTTAAAAGTTATTAATTAAGTTAAGATATTAAGATCTATCTAATTTTTAACTTTATTAATTTATATGCTGAAATTAACAAATTCATCAAGTATAAAAACTTGAAAGATAAAATTATAAACAAATTTAATTAAAGTATTTAAATAATAAACTCAATTATAAATATGTATAAGAATTATATCAGACTATATGAAAATATAAAGAGGCAAAAGATATAAGTTTTAATTAATTCTTTTATTAATACTGAAATTCATATTTGTAAAAAAGTTTATAAACTTACAAAAAATTAAATTATAATATAAATAAAAAATCTATCTATTTACTTTTATTACAATTAACTAATTACTATACTATAAACTAATTATTTTAATAGATAAATATAAGTAAACTAAATATACTAAAAATAATAAAATAATAAAAATATATTACATAATAAGAAAAAATATATTTGTAATATTCTATTATATGTTTTATTATAACACCCTTTTTATTATTCTTAATAATAAATTATTTATTAAATATTTTATAAATAAGATTTTTAAATGTAAAATTTAATTTAGAAAAATTTTACTTAATGTATTAAAGACAGTTTCATAGACAAAATTTTTAGTTACAAACAATTTTTTGAAATTTTTTAAAAAATTCTTATTTTTATTATACAACTGATCTTTTGTTTTAATTTGCTAAATTATTGACATTACACCTGATCTTAAATTTTAATTAAATAAAATTTTGAGTATTACAAATAATACATGTAACAGAATGTTACAATTAGATTTATCTATATAATAAAATAATAATAAAGTAAAATATTAATAATACAGTAAATATAAAATTAAATAATTTCAAATTTTATTTAATTTGTAAATTATAATTATTATCAGTATTTTAAAAATTAGTAAATCTTTAGTATTTTCAAAATTTTAGATTAAGAGATCATTATACTATATTATTTACATAATTTCATTACTATTAGTCAATTATTTTTTTAATAACATACAGATTATTTTTCACATAAAACTTTTTAATAAGTTTTGTTTTACAAAAATTCAATCTAGACTATATATTAGATATTTCATAGTCATTAAATATTAACAAAATGAAAAAACATAATATTTCAACCTCTATACTTAATTCAGCTTACATGAATAATACAATTTGGATCACTGATAGTCGCTCTAAATTTAAAGATATTTTTGATATATCTAAAACCTTTTTTGATTTTAATTCAATGTAAGTTTATCTGAAAAAATCCTTTATAATTACTTTTAAATCAACTACTAATAATATCTCATTTCACAATACATATTTAAATAATCAAGTAATTATATTAACTAAAAAATCTCATAAATTGATTATATATTTAGGTATTTAGATTTCTGCTCTATATAACAAAAAGTTTGTTAAATAATAAATAGAAAATGAGATTAATGATTTTATTTTAAAACTTAATATTAAACCTATAATAGATAAATAACTAAGATATTTTTGTAACTAAGTATTTATTCCTTAACTTGAATATTGCATTTAACT